ATGGACAGTGTCAAATACTAAATTCTTCTTAACCTTAAGACCTTAATTTGTGATTATATTGCGCACAAGTCTAATGTCATTAGCAGACAGTCGAACCGTTCTAGACAGAAAAGCTGAGAGGCCAGTTTCTTGCCAAACAAAATTCTATCGGTCGACCAGTTACCACATATAGGCATGTTTTACTTAAAATAATGAGATTAATATTTCATACTACTTTTCTATCATTTACCGTTTCGTATTTTATGGCTGTAGAAACTTGGTGCCACATTCCAAGGCAGGGATAAAATAAAGGTAATTGAGAATAAAGTCACAAAAATGTTGGTTTCCTTTAAGTGTCAAGAATAATTTAAAATAAGACTTGTTTAAAATCGAATTTTTATATTGCATATAAATACAGATTAGGTTTGGACAAAAAATATTTATTTCTGTACGAAAGAAATAAGCTTATGTACTAAAAGCGAAAGGAAACAGGTTATGAAGATTGTCATGCAACTTCAAATTTCCTGTCATCTCATTTCCTTAGCCTTTAACTTTTAAGGCCCTACAGAATTTCGGGATTGTTTGAACAGATGAACTGATTTATATTTAAAATATGCACTGTATTTATGGCCGGAACAGTAATCATAAATTTCTATGCTATTGTAGCATTAATGTTTTAGACCGGGATATGATATATAGATTTTGTGTTAGTAATCGACCGACATTTGACAGAGCAGATTAGATAACAGATCAGAAACAGCCGGTTAACTTCCTAAACAGAAATATAAACCCTCTTTGTCAATCTGTCAATGTGTTCTTAAGCTGAAACATAATATATCATAATCATGATTTAAAGGTTTTTGAAGATGGTCTACAATTTACTTTTAACTATAATAATAGTGTAGGTGTTTAAAAAACTACCATGTTTCGTAAGTTGTTTCTACTTCCGTCTTGAGGACGTGATCCTGGTCGAACTATTCTAAAAGCTGGTTAGATCCATATCCCGAAACGTTGTTTTTTTAAAAAAAAAATCTAGACGACGGATGAATACCAAGAACAGAAAATTACAGTAATAGACGATCGTAGGGAGAAATTTTCCAACAGATGTTCAGGGCGTGTTCCTGTAATTTTAAACTTGATGACAATACCAATAAAAAGCACATGACACGTGGTTTTCGTAACCTCTTTATTTGTTATTTAGTTGTCACGCCATGCAGTTGCCAGGGGATAAAGAATGCACATGTCTTGAGTGACCCTTAATAGCATATAATATTAAGAATTCTTTTACGTATTGTTGGTCTCTTTACCACGATATGTTCAGTATGTTGTGGATTGAAGTGACCCTTAATTTTCCGTGTAGGCTGAAACCAGTGCTCGTGTGTTATCTGATAGTTGTGATTTACTTCACTATTTAAGGATAGGCTATATAAAATATTCTCCATGGAAATGAGGATGAATACTAAATTAGATTAAACCGCGCAATGTACGCCTTTTGCAGAATGATGGTGTCATCAGGACGCAGAACGCCTAGGCACTGCTTAAAAATTATTTGGGGGTAGTGACCTACTGTTAGCAGTGTTCCATAGTTACATGTTAACGTATCTGTTGAAAATAAACTAATAAATACCTTTAATTGCTGAGATGAATCTTGTCACGTGTGTTTGGGAATTTTAATTACAATGCATTTTAAATACGTATCAGCAGGTTATTCATAAGAGATGGAAATTTCGATTATGTAGAAATGCATTTGAACCCAAAACTTCGCAGCGCAAAGGTTAAGAAATACTGTCATAGCACGTAGGTCTGTCCGTATGTACTTATTACGTCCAGTGTAATTCTTCGTGGTGTAGATAATGGAACAATTTCGTATGTGTTTGGACTTAATTCACTTCTGCTTCGAATGTTTACGCTTCTTTTATTTTGTCTCCAGAGAGGGAGCTTTTCTTCTTATTTTTTTCCCCTCTTCCTACGTGGAAAGTTTTCTCTGTCTCCTTCCTCTTGCAACGCAGATTGCTAATTAAAAGTTGTAATTGAAACCTGTAGAAGCGCCTACAGTCCTACAATCCTACGGGATCGAGAGGGCTGGCCGGCCAGTCTGAGGAAAAGGGCGGATGTCATCAGGGACCCTGCAGAGGGAAAAAGTGAAGTCCACTGTAACAGTACCGGGTACCCGTAGGATTCGCTGTTCGTCTCGAAGACACTTAACACAAAGTACCTCCTCGGTGTCACCACACCAAGAAGCCGAGTCAGGAAAAGACCAGACACACCAAATTTTCAGCTCAACACTCAACTCGCGATTAAGCATTCAACCTCTTCTAATCTAAATTTAGGAGTTCCTGAGCTTCATTATCAATAAACCGATAAGTATTTTCTTTGTAGGCCCATTTTATAAAATACAAACTATATCTAAATATATCTGAAATGATATTTTGGGGATTTAAAACAGATCTACATAGTAGGTTGTACACAGATTTAATGACACGATTTCGGAAAAATTTATAAAGATAGATTTGAGCTTCATGTGACGCAGGAATATTTTCGAGGCGCCTCGGCAGTTGCGTGAGTAGCAGAAAAAATTAATTTTGTTGATAGACGAACTAACGGACACTTCCTCCTGATTATACGTTCTGTGTGTGCTCTATACATTTTAAAGATGGTAAATTTAAGAGTATGGGGAGTTCTCTAGCTGGACTTTTCTGCTTTTTTCCCCCCTTCAGATATTTTTATTCCCTTTGACTGCTCTGCTCCTATTTGTAAGTTCACAAAGCCCTTTCGTTTTCCTTCAAAACACAGCGAGCGAGGAACAAGTTTTGATTTCCCTAGCAGAGCTCTTTCAATTTTGTCCTCTCTAATTGCTGTTTCCTTTTAATTGATCATTAATTAAGGAGCGGGAGTTGATTATTTGATTGTGCGTGCCAATTTTCACAAAGTTTCAGCTTTTATTTGCAAATCTTCGAATTTGAAAGCGACATAAGTTACACTTTTCTTTATCTACAGCAAACTACAGGCGATCTGGTCACCTCCAGTGCCATGTTTGTACTCAGGCAGCATGGACCGACATGTTGTGGCTCTTATTTGAAATGCGGTTCTACTTATTTAGTAGTGGGTTTAAAGGCCTTTCAACATGCTTAGTGAAAATTTAAAGGATTTTGTATTGGATTATGTTATGTGACGTTTTTGGTAGAGAGTTATAATGCTTTTGAAATTATAGTAAATATTTATTATTTGAATATAAAAATACATGGACATGAGGGTTTTATTAACGTGTCTACAGAACATTTAAATAGTTGTATAAGAATAATACTTTTAAGAGACAGGTTATCATTTATATAACAGAGTTTTTCGAAATATACGAAACTGAAAAGAATGGTTATACAATAGACATAGTGTTACTAAATAAATTAAACAAATTTTGATGTTTTTCTTAGGAACATTTGATATTTAAATGCTTTCTTATAATTTAACTTTGTATCTCGAGTCAAGTCTTCGACAGGACTGAAAGAAGGGGTTTGTAGTTTTCACAGAGATCGCGAACTTTTCATAACGGGATGCTGGGGAAAATATTTTACGTAAGCAAGAGGAAATGAATGGAGCCTGGAGAATGTTTTGTAATTGGAAGCTGAATAATTTGTACTCTTCACAAAGCAAAAATTTGATCAAATCAAGAAGGGTATTATAGGCTTGGAAATAATAAATACGTACAATATTTTTTTAGGAAGTCTGGAAGGAGGAGACTACTCGGAAGACCAAGGTGTAGATGGGAGTATAATATTAAAATGTTTTTTAGGGAAACACGTTCGAAAGATATGGACTGGGACAGTGTCTGGGGGTGGCTCTTATGAACACGATAATGAATATTCAAGTTTCATAAAAGACAAAGGAATTTCTTGGTCCAGTGAATGACTTGGCTTCTCAAGAAGGACTTTGCTTATTGTTATCATCTAGTTACGGTTAAGAGTGACCAGTGTAGAGTAATGTCTGTAGCGTTCATTAACTTCGCATCAGTGCATTTCTATGTGCAATAAATGAACATCAATCCTCACGAGGAATGTAAAGTAATGAAGAACGCATAAAAGATTTGTATTGGTGTACTCCACCGGAGCGCAGGTTTTTGCTGTTGTGATGTGAAGAATTCTTGTAATCCGAGAGACTGGTCTTGGTCGCGTGTGTGTGTCCCATACAAACAACGTTCTGATTCTGTTTCATGTTCATCCACCCTCTTTTTCCCTTTCTACATAGAACCAACCCTCCGTCTCTTTTCTGCTACCCTCATCAAACCTCTTTGTTTTAATACCCTCTAATCTTTCTCTTTCTTTTCGTTTTCTCCCCTCATTTATCTACTCTTGGCGTTTTTAATTCTTTTCCACTCTGCATTCTGCAGTCTTTTTAGGTTCGTCCCCTGCATAAATCTTGACTGAGATTTTCTTATCATTTAGGACAACTCTTCTAATGTAAGGGACACGGGGGCGGAGGGGAGGGTAGTTCAAGACGAGTAGCTCCTTAAGGGATAGAAGCCATTAGTTAACCGGGTTGAAGAAGGTGTCAAGGGATGCTGCAGATGCAGGCAACTGTGTATGTAAGGAGGAGTGGAGGGTGGGTTTAAAAGGGATGAGGTGACAGTGGAATGGGCAACTGTTTTTCTACTTTGTTTTATTACGTAGCATGGGCCTACAAACAAATCTTAGATTCAGTGTTTTATAACAGGTTCCACAAACATCCAGCAGGGTAGCTAGTATTGCACCTGTTTCGCGGTCTGTTACGTCAGGAAGTTCGCTTATGTAGAAATATCTTGTAACATAAAGAGATTCTAGCCTCTTGAAACTTCTCACTAAATTTTTTACGCTTTTGCAGCTAAGAACGAGATACTTGTCTTAGAAGCACTGGTTTTTCTGATTTTGATTTATTCATTTATAATTTTTACAAGACAGCGAAATAAAGCCGTTCATGTTATTTGAAGAATAAAAACCCTTCGTTACCACGGCGTACAGACGAAAGAAGTTTCTTTTAAATAGAAATCAGCATTTGAAGGGTTAATAGGTCAATTTTATTCCAAGTGACATGACAATACTTTTGTTATTTTACTCTTTTGGACGGTAAAATAAGTGAAATTTAACTGCATGCATTAACATTATCTGTAATAATACTAATATAAAATACAAGCTTACAGTAATACAGTATTAATAACTTCAATAATAAACTTAAGTTTATTTCTTTGATCTGAAAGTAATTTATATGAGGAATGGAGGTAAAGCTTCACGCATTCTTAACCTTGAATCTAGACTGCTCCTGCCACTTCTTAGTTCCTGGGGAAAGAACAGCTGGTAACTATTGGATACGATGCTGGGTTAGCTGCAGAGTAAGCGTGTACGTGGTGACTAAAGATAGGTAAATCGACATCAGATCTTTTAATCTGTAGCCTGTCACTATACGGGCTCATTGTGTATTAATAATAATATAACGAATAATTAATAAAAAAAGTAGTAGCAATTTTTTTTTAGAATTTTTCAGGTACGAATGAACCCAAAATCAAGGTGCATGAATAATTTTTAAATAAACAATATCTCACGATATTTTATTCTGTGTTATGTCGCTAAAGGCCAAATGTTTCAGGGAAATATTCTTTCTGGGAACGCAGTATCACAAGCAGGCCTGACACGGAAGCAGGTATAGTTATCACTAAGGTATAAGGGGTTAAGAAACGAAAGAGAATTCTAATACGGGGCTGATGTTTGCTGGAAGGGTAGTAGTTTAGATGTCTGAGGAGAAATACCGCTGCCGCAAACACTGTAGCAGGCAGGAGCTTAGTAGCATACTCCTTACAAGTAGAAGAAAGGTCTTCGCTGGTCGGTAGAAGAGAAGTTCGCATCCAGTGTTATCGGTGATCACACGACAGAGTGCGGGCCCATTTATCACTCGCAGAAACATGGACAATCTGCGAGCAGAGAGGTTGGTCATATCTGGATTAGACCGACAGTAAAATGATGAGCTCAGTAAAGGCAGATATCACGTTAGAAATGCACATGATCAGCTCTTCCGGTGATGGATTTTACTAAAATGAAGCAACTTCTCTCTAGTATAATTTTGTAACATCTTTTTAAGCTATTTTTATTGAAGATGACTGTCTTATAGGTTGTAGGGCCGTGTAGTCTGGTAGAAGTTTACCGACGTTTCAGAGGTCTACCAGACTACACTGCTCTGCAACCCATCTTCCAAGAAAACGTATTGCTGAAACAGAGGTCAAAGTTATTTTCACCGATATGAAAATTTCTTGCATAATTTACAAAATTCTATATTTTAAAGAATATTTTACTCCCGTAAACGTCAGAAACACTTGTTTGTCTCTGAAACTTTCTTTTTTCTTTCATCTATTTATCCACAAAATAATCATTTATTCTACCGATCAACCGATCTGTTGACCAAACAAGTAGCCTGAAGCATGAGAGTAAATTAACATTTCGTGAGATTTGTTTTACCTTTGCTAAATATAATTATTTAAGTAAGTTACGGAACAAGTTTTGCGTTTTAACTACTTGGAAATGGAATATAATCACTATTTAAACAGCAAAATATATTAGTACCTATGAATGTATGGGAATTAAACAAAACATTAAAACGACTCGCGATGGAAGACCAAGTTTGGTATTGAATAAAGTGATGGTAGTTCCCACTTTTAACTGGAAGTGATATTTGTGTTAACAAAGTGCTATCGTGTTAGTAAAGTTCAGGCAGTCTGAATGAAGTTAAGAAGTTTCAAGGGCTCTGCCGGATTATATAGACTTTCAAAATGATGAGGTACGGAAAGAACGAAATAAAATATTTGTTCAGGAAATATGAAAAAAAATGTGTTTATTGAGAACGGGCAGTGGAAAGTGCTCAGTATTGCACTTATTTATAAATAGATGGAATGTGAAGACAGAGGAGAGCTACTAGAATAATGGTTGTAGTGTGTGATCTGGCTTAAGAATAAAACCTCAAAAGGATAAAAGAACAATAAAAACATTATCAAAGTGCCAAGTTGTTCATTACATCCTCATATTGTTTGTACACACCCCTGTTACCATGGCAACCATGTAATAGCTTTTCCCCTTCATTAATTGGCCCAACATACTGCTGTCGGTGCATCTTATATTTCTGTATTTCATCTCCCCTTTTTCTTTTCCCTGTAATTCTAGAAGTCTTTTGCAAAGCAGCAGCACTTTCTTCTTTGTAACTTCGTTTCCTCGATTTATTTTCCCCCTCCCGATCTTCTTTTTCGCTCGTTTATTCTCCTTTTAAGTTTTTCTTTTCTTTTTTGTTATCTCTGGGCGTTCAACTCCTTAGTTTTCTTTAAGTCGTATAAACATCTATTTCCTTTCGTATTCTTTTTGACTTTCGTGAAATGAAAGCTTTTAACCGAGGCTCTCTTTGGTTTAAGACAAAATAAATAACTTGTCTGAAATTGGATGTTGCTGAAAGTGATGCTGAATCATTAAAAAGGAAAAAGAAAGTTGCGATATTGAAATTACCAAGCTGAGAGGGTTTAAATATTAATTTTATCAGTCTTAAACTACAAATATTCTAGTCATTCTCTGGCCATAATATAAGGAACTACATTAAACAGATCATGATTTATTTTTATTATAATCTTTGCAGCAAGATTATGACAGACATATTGTCCATATTGGTAACAAAAATACAGTACATAATCATAAAGTTATAACTCCTGTTCCTCTGAAAATTAGCAAATTTTAAGTAATACTTAGGGAAGTCAATAAGCTTAGAAATCAAAATATGTTCATTGTAAAATTAGCAGTAGATTAATCTCTGTGGAATATTTGACATTATTCATTTCGCGATATTAATATGCTCCGTTTATAAACTTAATGGTCAAATAATATAAAATATAATTATATCTGTTTGTTGTGGACATGAAACTTAGTCTCTCGCTGCGAAGGACAGATTTGAGAACAAGGTGTTGAGAAAAGTGTATTTGGACCTCAAAATGAGAAGTTTCATGTAAATTCAGAAAATTGCATAGTAATAAGTTTTATTATAATTTTGATTTTTAAGGTAATTAAATTCAAACAAACCCTGTGGTTTTAACATGGGAATAATAAGATAGACGTATTCAACATTTATACTAAACGAGATTAATAGATGATTACGACATCTGAGGTTAGGTCAAGAGATGATATTAAAATGGCTCTTAGAGACATATTTTGTGAATATGTGAGCTGGACTGGTTCAGTATAGTGTCCAGTGGCTACTAACCTCTAGTGAACTCTGTGATAATCCTTTGGATTCCACAAGAAGGAAGAAGACCCGACACAATATGTCTGTTAGGGGCACTTGGTTCGTTAGGAAAAATCTTTACCAAATTAAGGGTCTGGATCGGAACATTAAAGTAAACGCGAAGCTGGAAGAAGGGAGCACGTTTCACTTATTTTGGTAATTAGACAAACTCTTCCAAGTTCGTAATCCTCAAATTTTCTAATTACTTTGTCGCAGCCAAAACCTGAATAATTAACGTTAATCATTGTACTGATTTGTTTGGCAGATTCGTTGCATCCTCAGGCATTTCTTCTCCCCTTCTTTATAATTTCGCTCCCTCCTCTGTATTCCAGACCCTAATATATTTCAACTCCTCTTCCCTCCCCGCAACCCCTTCTTTTCCATCCTTTTTTTACACCCTTTAGTTTTTTCAAGTGTTATTTTCTTGTCTCAGTGCCGTTAGTTCCCGATAGATGCCAGTTACAGTCAAGTTGCGAAGCGAGGTGTGATTGATAATAATCAGAATCGTTATACCGTAATCCCTCCAAAAACCGAGGTTTGCAAGACCAAGGCCTCATGAGAAATTTGAGATTTTGGAAACTTAGGTTACTGTTTAATAATTATCAAAGTCGAAGTTAGCTATTCCTTCGCTGGACACAAAAATACGCAATAATAAACTAAATTAGATATAAAACATGAAAACGTTTAACAGAAATTGCGGTCTTGAAGCTGTGAAACTATAGTACTCGCCACCAAAATACATGCTTCAAGGTCACAATAAAATCATAATGCTGCAAAACGAACCAACGATGTCAAGGCGAATAAAGACACCTAAGAACTTGCAAAGTTAACAATTCTGTGCTGCTGACTTTAAGCTGCACGGCTAGGCTAGGGTGGGAGAAAAAGTTGAGGTCCTTCCGTGGCCTTGAAGCATGCAATTTGGTGACGGCTATTATAGTTTCATATGCCATAACAGCTCTGATCACAGCAGATGTGGATCTGTCTGTGCTCATGAAACATGCTTAAGGCCACACACACGTGAAAATAACGTGTCCCTGTCTGAGATTATTATGACAGTGAGGTTCGTGTTTTATATAAGTGTTAGGATACAACGTAGATGAAGCTGAAATTGGCATAGTATCGTCCTTGTCGACTTTTGGAATTTAGTTTCAATACATGTTATAGGTGTTAATTTTCAGCCGGCGACCTGCCTTATCCAAATACGTATTTCCGTAGTATTCAATTTTTATTACCAGGGAAATAAGTTTACGGACATGCTGTAACTGTATCATCGTTATTTTTTTATATAATTTTGTTTCACTGAACCAGCAACAAAGTAATTTTCCATCCCTTCTCGGAATTAAAGGAAGATAATCAAAAAGTATAAGGGATGAAGGCGAGGGTAGGGTTAGAATGAAGCAGGGAGCCACCCCCATAAGGGGGGAAAAAGATGGCGAAAGGAAGGGGAGGGTTGTATAAAAATAGCATAAGAAACCTTGATTATGAAGAAATGCGGAAGGGAGGATAAGAAGTGGAGGGGATAGAATCGGACTGCAATGGATGGATGTAAAAAGACTAACAATTAGGATGGAGGGGAGCGGGGAGACAGATCGATCGGGGAACATTTCATGGCTTCTGTAGTTTTCACGGCGTAATGCTTACCGAAAATGAATGCGTCAGTACATAAAAAAATGCAGCTATTTCACTGACAAAAATTGTATTAAATAAAAGTTTTAAAGATTAATTGAAATACCTTGAAATTTGTGCTTCCGTTTGGTTGCAAATTATCTACATTTTAACCCTTAAAAATCACAATATTAATTTAAATTATGTATAAATAATACAGTATTTAATTGGAATATGTCGAACAACTTGCAAGGCAAACCAAGAGGGGGACAGAAAAAGATACATGATCACCCCATTTCATATTAATTTCATGGAAATTGTGCTTATAGATTAACTCACAACCAAGAAAGACTTGTAAGATTGCTAAGTGATTATTTATTGACTGCAAGTATAATGGTTCATCAGTAACAGCTGTAAAGATCACACATCTTTCAGCTGGGTTAGTTCGTCAATCTCTCCTATTACTTTCCTAATTATAGTCTACGCCTGTTATACTTTTTCTGGCTTACAGGTTTCTGGTGATTCTTATCTTTTCAAGGAACAATATCACACCTGAATGAACCCTGTGATACACTAATATATATATTTAATTGCCAAACTGGTTCGGACTAAGGATGTGGAATCCGAAACAGACTGTGTAATTACTTGACATACTGTGTACATCTTTCGATCACAGCTTACACTAAATCTCGGTCTCTGTATCTAGCTCTGATGTGTCTTCCTGAAACTAAAGAGGTAAAAACTTTGAACGAGAACTATAAGCTCTAGCTTCATATTTTATTTGTTAGCAGACAAGTATGTCGCCTGGAGATAGCGCGACCCACATGAAAGTAACGTTTTGAACTTTCATTACTCTTCAACAGATAGTTTTTGTTATGACGGTGATGGACCTTCGGGTAATAAAAACAGGACATTTCTCGAAGAGTTGAAAATCGCAAATTAAGACACCAATTGGTGAATTTGTAGGCTCCAGGAAGTTTTTTAAAAGTATTTTATTTAATAATTTTATGTACTTTATTTAGTTCTGTGGCCTATCTGTAGACATAAATACAGGCA